CAACTTCTGCGCACATAACAGTTCACCTCATTTTATTGTAGTGTAGTGGTTGCTGTAACCCCTTCCACAAATACTAAAGGGCAAGTTTTGCAGGAGTAAAGTTTAATGCTCACTCGGCCTACTAGGGATGCTGGACTGTGCATGTCATGCTGACAGGGTGATGCTGTTACTTCCCCCTAAGCAGCGGCTGCTGTTTTTGCAATGGTGGTTGTAGGAAGGTTTCCCTCCCATGTGACCAATTATATAATTAACTCTAATTTAGATCTAGCAAACATGACCCAGTAATTTTATACTGCTCTCCATCCTAACCAACTTAAATCACATACCATTTTGCCTTATTAATAGAGGCATATCCAGCCTCTGTAGAATTCTTGTGACTACAGTCAGATGAAACACCAGGAAGGACAAGCTGGAAAAAATCATAGATGGTGCCAACTTTGCTGTCACTGCAATAAAATTTATTTTTAAAGTACCAGTTTAAATATGCTGTAAATCAGTAATTGCATTCTGATTTGGATTTGATAGCACTGAAGACTTTTGGCTTTAATTTGAATGTTGTGTGGGCAATAGTTAAACTTAAGACCAGTCAGCCTAACATCAATAGTATGTAAACCATTGTAAGGAATGATAAATGGACCGTATCCAAGAATCTGCCAGAGAAAACAGCATCAAGGGTATTAACCACTGTGGATTTTTGAAAGACCGCTCTTGCTAGACCAATCTATGAGGGTGCAAGGTGTAATTTGAAAGAGGAAGGCCTTTTGGCATTGATATTGTATGTATCTGGATAAGAAACTGGTTACAGGGGTATGCTCATAGAATGGTGATTGTCATATTTAATGAATGGTCTAGCATTGTGAGTGGATGTCCCAGGACTCTGTTTTTAGACCAACTCCATTTAACCTGTGCATAAACAATATCAAGTTTGGAATATATAATTCAGTTTCAGTGTTTGCTGATGATTCAAAGTTAAAGTGGAACTTTAGTCAGAAAATGAAGTCCTGATCACTTTAGGCTGGCCCCTTTTGCAGGGAGAGCCCTGTAAAACATAAAAAATAAGCACCTATACTGTTTAAAATCCAGTAATGCACTGTCTCACCCTGCCTGCTCTCTAATCAAGGCACTGTGATTAAAATCAGAGCCATTAGAGGCCGATCTGCTGACAGCTTTAAGATTTGCTGTTGCTGAAGGGGGAAGAAAGTACCAGGAATAACACAGACTGTGTGAAAAGAACACAGAGTAGGAAAAGAGAAAAGAAAAGCAGGAGCAGTAACAGGGCAAACTGCTACCAGGTAGACACAAAATAGTTAAACTTACAAGAACCTTGTCTTATCTCCCTGATATTCTCCCCTTACTCCCTCTGGCAGCCTGTGAAGCTTCTGTCGTCCTTTCTCTCTAACTTTGCCAAGATATACAGTCAAAACAGGAAATGTATATATTTTAATTACAGAAAGTGACATACAGTTTTGAAACCAAGGAGAGGGGGAGAAGTTTCCAATATGGAAGTGACTGTTCTAGGCGTCAACAAAACAGCAGCCTCCAGCAAGAAGAAACAGGAACAATGTTGGAGGCAATTTGCAGCACACACCAAGTTTGGTAGTATAATTATTGTGGAATGTATGTCCTTTTGTTAAAGAACATTAATTGTTATCAAACTGTTATGGGTAAAGTTCCGCTTTAAGCAGGGCAGGAACTTTACAAAAGGATATAGAAATTTAACAAGACCTTGCTAAAAGTAGAGAATTGGGCAGTGTTATGACAGATGAGGTTCAGACTCATGTGGTGCGTTACATTGCATGTGATCCGCACAGGAACCGCACCGGATTCCTGTGCAAATCACATGCGAATTGTGTGCGGTGCGATTTGAGCCATACATTATTAAGTATGGCTCAATCCGCACCAAAAAAGGTGCAGGACCCTTTTTTGGGTCCGCACTAGAATCGGAACGCATGGGTATTCACACCTACGCGATCCAATTCTGTACATCGCACTGCTTTTTGAGGACCGATTTTAGGGTGTTGTTATACACACCTGGAGCGGTTCGCATGAAAGGGGTAAGATTCTGATGCGGTGCGGAATTCACACAGAAAACGCTGTGAATTACAGACCGCTTCAGTGTGAACCCAGGCTCAATGCTGAAAAATGTAAAGTAATGCACTTGGGAGTTATAAATATATATTTAAGATACTTGCTAAAGGGAATCAAAATGGATAAGAATCTGGAGGTCCTTGTTGAACAATAGCATGCAATGCCAAGCTGCAGCAGACCGGGCTAGCAGACCTCTTTTTTAGTTGAAATTATTCTACCACTTTACAAAACTCCACTTCCACCACCTGTTGAGTATTGCGTCCAGTTTTGGTCACTGCTCCTTGGGAAGGATGTCATTTAAACCAGAGAGTCTGGAGAAATGCAACAAAACTAATAAGGGAAATGGAGAACCTCAGAAACTGATTCTTCCTGGTGAAGAAGCACAAGAGAGGCTATGATTGCAGTAAACAAAGCTTTAAGTAGCTGTATCATGCACACAAACACACATTTATATATAAAACTATGTATAGTTCTGCTTTAATAAACTACAGCTGTAAACAACTTTTGAAATGATAGTAACTTGTTTAAGCTTATAACATTTTAGTGATTGGGTTTAGATCTACTTTAATTAAATCCAACCAGTGAGGCTGATTTACTACAGAAGTTAGGACTTTTCACTTTAATTGTCCAATTGTGAAGAGTGAATTCCTGCTCATTTTATCAACAGATGACTGGCCAAATGAACACCGCTACTACCTTATTAAATCCCACTCATTATCTCCAAACTCAACAGTTTAAATAGGAAAGCAAAAATGTATCCTTCGGCAGACAGTTAATTTTGTAATTATCTTGAAGAGTGGTCTTCTTTTTACCATTCTGCAGCAGTGATGGGATGTTTTTGTGTTCCTGTGTTGTGTAAATAATGTATATTGCTATGCATGCATGATAAATCCTAATTTGTGCAGTTCCTATGAAATAAACAAAGCATGATGCTCTCAGTCAGTGGGAGTTAAAACTCTAATCAATGTTTCCATTTTGTGTTAAAGCGGCATTCCATCTGTTTTTGTGTTTATTAAAAGTCAGCCACTACAGTTTTTGTAGCGGCTGACTTTTAATAAAACACACACTTACCTGTCCCAGGGTCCAGCAATGTGCTTACCTGCACCGTCCTTTTTCTTCTTCTCTCCGTAGTGCCGGCATCTCAATTGTGGGCAGCAGGCTGTGACAGCTTGTGGCTTCACAGCCGGGTGCCCACTGCATATGCACAAATCACGCTGCACCTCCTAATTGGTCTAGCAGTCTTCTGGGGCCTGTGAAGGTTCCCAGGAGACTGTGAAGAAGGAGGGGGCCGAACTTCTGGCTCACTTCGCCACTACGCACTGAGCCGGATGTGGGAGTGGGTACCTGTCAAGACCATGTACCTGCTCCCCCCCAAAAGGTGCCAAACATGGCAGTGGGGGGTGAGTAGGAAAACAAGCAGAGCTTCCACTTTTGGTTGGAACTCTGCTTTAACTATTACAACTGATCCCTGTGCTATGTGTTTTAATATTAATCCTTTGTTAAAAAAAAAAAAAAAAAAAAAAAAACTAGACTGAATCTTAAAAATCAAATACTTTATTGTATTTACAAACAATGCTGACAGAATGGACTTTTTTCAGAACTAAACTGTAGTGTTTTAACAATTGAACTTTAGGATTTAAACAAGTCACTAAAATCAGCCATACATCATTAGATGTGTCTACTCTTGTTACAGATATTTATTTTTTTCCCCAGAAAAAACTAATGCACACTCATATTTAGGCTTGGAATGGAAGCACCATGCTTTTATCTGCAACAAAAACAAGGAAAAGAGGTGCTGCAATCTGCAGGATTCATTTTTCTCACTCCGGTAAGGTACTACGTTAACCTTCTATGCCACCTATTGGATGAAATGCATCTTCTGTCTTTGAGCAGCTAAACCAAGAAATGCCCTACTACACAAAGCATAGACAATCTCTCCTCCTGCTCTCCCCCTCAGAATCATTATGTAAATCTTACTTTCCTCACATGTGCTATTTTATTGTGCATTTGGTAATACTGCTGTATTTTTGTAGTCATTTCTTAGCCTGTGTGTGTTGCATTGATTTTTTTTTTAATACAATATATAAGCAGGTTTTCCCAAATTTTTCCCCCACCGAGTTTTCAGGTTTTCCAGAATTTTTCATAGTGGTGTTCCTTTTAGATGTTAACCTTGTGCTTATATTTATTGGTCTGGAGAACATGACTGGTAGTGGTATTTTGGTACACACCAGTGTATACAGTGTAATTCAAGGAAAGGGTTCTGTTGCAAAAATGGTAAAAACAGTTTTTATCTGACAAATAAAACATGGCCCGTGACTGCGTCCTAATAGTTAACAGCTTCACTACTGCTCAGCGTTTCTGGGATTATGTGTGGGCCGCTACTCTTTTCCCTTAGCATTCCTGACAAGCCACACACTTGTCCCTTGCTCTCTGAATATCTCTACAGCAACACAGACTTTCCACTGTTAGCAAGTGAGATTGTGGCACACATGCCCAGAGGGATAGTACCTGACAGTGAGGCTTTTAAAGAAAAGTCTGGATTATGCTGAACAGGTTGCACAGCAAACATCCTGGCAGGTGGAGACAGGTAAACATGGCATGTTAGAGATGCTGGGCCTACTATCCAAGTGTACTTTGTAAATTAGTCTGTGTTTTTACAACTGTTTTTAACATGTTGTGAACGTTCAGATAACACCAAATTATTAATTTATGCAGGGTAAGAAAAAAGTAAGTATACATAAAGCCTTAAAATATGATGTACCCAGCATCTACTGCTGTCAGCATCTGTAACTGGTCCCTGGATTAAATAAAACAATAGGATGCAGTTTACAATTGTGCATTAGTATGTCCATATAGCAAGAAGTCATCATAATCCACTGAATTTTGCCTTTTGTATTGTTCAAAGCATGAAATCACCTCGTTCCTCCTACCCACCACCTACTGCCATCTTGGGCCCTTATGGCTGCATTTCGCTCCTCCGGGGAGAAGTGTAAGACTGTCAGAAGTGCACTTAAAGTGTGTTGTCTACCACAGGGATCTGACATTGTTAAAAATCCCAACAACACATTTTTCAGATACTCCATGTTTGCCCCTTCTCTGCTTCTGTCTCGTAGAGCTTTTTCAACCTGTTCACGCAAAGTTTGCATCTCCTCGCTTTTTTCTGCTAACCGTTCAAGCATACTTTGTATTTCAGCTTCCAGCTCATGCTTTCTCCGCCTCAGGATTCCAATCTCAGCTTCTTTACGGGACAGCTGTTCTACATAAACAAGAAAAGCAGAGGAACTGCTGGATGGGAGCTCTAAACCATTATCTAAAGGGTCTAGTGATGGTGGGGGTAGGCCATTTGGAATCTTGGTCTCTCTCAGTTTCTCCAGTTCCTGCTCTTTTTCTGCTAGCACAGCTAACACCCTCTCTCTGTGCTGTCTCAGTTCTTCTTCCATTCGTGCCATATTTTCTCTGCTCTCTTTTTTTACATGCTCAAGCTCCTGTCGGTGAGTTTGAGCCAACAGTACTAGCTCCTTCCGGGCAGCCTCCATCTCTGTTTTGTGCTTGTTCTCGGTCTCCTCGACTGCCAATCTTAGGGAGACATATTTTTCTTTTAACTCTGCCATTTTTTGTTTTCCAGCCTCCAGCTCTCCTTCCCGTGCCCCTTTGGTCCTCAGCACTCCCTGAGCTCGAGCTTTGTAACGCTCAAACTCCTCTCTTAACTGCTGGAGTTCCTGTTGGTAAAAGAGAACAGATCCATGGGCCTCTTGATTGTCATTATTGTCTTCTGCCATGGGGGATTTTATCAGAAGAGATTCAGCAGGGGTTGGCAGTGAAGCAGCCATAACAATAGTTTTATTTTCGGTTTCCAGCTGAATGACACGCTCTCGTAGTTTCCGAACAGTGATTTGGTCCCTTTGTTTGGATGTTTCTGCTGCTCCCAAAAGTGCAGACAGCTCAGACACCTGAGATTCAAGGGAACGTATTCTTTGTTCTTCTTGCAGGAATCTCTGTGTGTTATGCTGCTCCTCTGTCAGCCGCTGCAATCAGCATTAAAGAAGCAAAATTATTAAACTACATAACATACTACAAATATAAAATACAAATATGGAAAATCTAGATATGCAAAAGCAAGGAAAGTGTTTTTATTTATTTTATATTATAGGACACACAAATGGCTAATTCTTAGATCAATGGGTTATGCTCCCACCTCCAGGTAATTGGACATTGGCAAGGCAAAGCTGAATACCCAGCCCTGCTTAACCTCACCCACTCCCAGCCTGCCTTCAGTTTGTGGCTAGCATCCTTAGGTGATGGATAGAGACAACTTTATGTCTTGTGATATACTATATATATATAAAAAAAAAAATTTGTACAGACAAGCCAAAAATCATAATTTATTAAATTATAATACACACACAACTTCATATTCTTAACTTCTTTGGATGTCCCAAAGCACTGAACATGAGGGGTAGGCAACAGAGCAGCAAGGCCATCTGAAGGACCTTAAACCCTAAAATGATGTCTGTAGAGGCATGAACATCTACCTGGTAGAACTTCATAAGTGTGTGACACAAAGACCAGATAGCAGCTTTACAAATTCGAACAGAAGCTTGAAACAGCATAGTCTAGGACAGCAATGGGCAAACTACGGCCCGGCGGACCTTTTAATCCGGCCTGCGGAGCGTGGCAAACATCGGCTGTCAGAATGTGTGTAGGCGGGGCAGCGTGAGGAACGTGAGGGGAGCTAGGCTCCTCTCACAGTCCTCCCTGAAGACCGGAACGGCGCGGGAACACGGCGAGAGGAACGCGCGGAGCAAAGGTAAGTGAATTGACACAGGGGGACTTGGCTTACTACTTGGGGGGGAATAGTACTGTGGGGGATTAATTACTACATGGGGGGGGATGAATTACTATACTTACTATGGATGACACATACACATCATTCATCTACTCTTGGTCCAGCCCCCGGGTCCAATATATGAACCCATTGCGGCCCTCAAGTTTGCCCACCCCTGGTCTAGGAAGTATTGACACTTCTGATGAAATGACTGGGAAAGTACGAACCTCATCCTGGTAAAAAAAAAAACCAAAAACAAAAAAAAAAAAAACAAAAAAGACTCCTTCACAGGAAAGTGTAACCAACTCTCAGACCCTGCCAGATAAGGTAATGGCAGCTAAAAAGACAACCTTGCACATGAGGAATGACATCACCACGCTGGTCTGCTTCTACTTAGCTCCACCATCACTGTATCTCCCCCCCCCCCACATAAGGAACAATTCTCAACCATATCACGTTATATCATATATCAAATATATGTGATTGTCTGCAAGCAATATCCATCTGTAATATCGCCCATGTCATGTATGAATGCTAACTCACCCCGCACTGCTATATGGTAATTGTCTGTGAGCAATATCCATCTGTAATATCACCCATGTCATATATGAATGCCAATTCACCCCGCACTGCTATATGGTAATCTATACTGCTTTTAAAATCCACATCTAACTGAAGCCGATTCATAACTATCAATGTTCCTATTGGTCATTCTTACTGCTTCAAAAATCTTTAACTGTCCATATTACTGTGGTGTTTATTTTGCCCTTATTGTCTAACCCAAATTTATGAGCGGATCCTAATCTTTACAACTCTGCCCTCCTGCTCTCTTGTAGTCCTTTGGTGAGAGAAGTTTGCCCTGGTAGCCATGCGTCTCTGCTAAGCATTCCTGATTCATTGGCAATTCCCCCACCCAACTCAGTACAAAATGTAGGCCTTAGGGGAGGTACAGCCAGGGTTAGCATTGGCCAACTATCATCATGGATAAAGTATTGATCTTGGATTAAGTATTGTACTTCGGCTCTGTACTTCAGTGAATGCACAAAGCGAGAAACAACAGCAGACAACTTCAAATACTAAGTAGACTACAGGTGACCTGTTTACCCCATCCAGCTCTTATCCAGTCTGCTTCATCTCCACTCGGTAACATGCACTCCCTACTCCTCACCGTTGTGTCCTCTCTCTTCAAGCTCTCCTTCACCTGACAGCTCTCTCTCTCTATATATATCTATATCTATCTATCTATCTATATAAAAAATCTCACCCTCACTCCTTTCTTTACCTTATTACTGTACTCATCAACTCCTGCTAATTCTGAACCCACACACTAATAAAACCTCCAGGACACTGGAACCTGTCCCTCCATATAAGTCATACTCCCATATTATCTCTTTCACCCTTCTGCTTCTCCTAACATTTGGAGATATTTCCCCAAATCCTGTGCCACCATCTTTTTTCTTTGATCAACACACCCGGCACCCCCTATCCCCCAACAGCAGCCGCAATCCACACAATCTAGTTACTTTTCCTCTTCTTCCTAGAACCAGCCTCCCCTTTTCCTGTGCCCTCTGGAATGCCCGCTCTGTATGACCTTTTTATCACAAACTCCTTTAACTTGCTTGCAATTACAGAAACCTGGCTTCATGAATCTGACTTTCCCTCTCCTGCTGCCCTCTCCCATGGTGGTCTCCTCTCTCCCAGGCCTAGTGGACAGAAAGGAGGTGGAGTAGGAATCCTCCTATCCCTCAAAGCACTTTTCACGTCCTCCATTCACCTCCCTCTCTGTCCCTCTCCTCATTTGAAGTTCACTGTATTCGTCTGTTCTCTCCAGTTTCTTTAAGAATTGCTGTGATGTATTGTCCTCCTGGACCAGCATCAAACTTTCCTTGATGACTTCTCTGCCTGGCTGCCTTACTTTCTCTCTTCTGAAATTCCCACAATCATTCTTGGTGACTTCAACATCCCTGTTAATCTTAACACTCCTGCTACTTCTAAACTTCTGAGCCTAACCACTTCATTGGCCTAAAACAATGGACACATGCTTCTACTCACTCGAATGGTAACTGCCTCGACCTTGTATTCTCCTACCTATGCACTCCTTGCAACCTCACCATCTTCCCTCTTCCTCTCTCTGATCACTCCCTTATTAGCTTCACTCTCTCATTGGCTTCCTCCTGCTTGTCTTCCAACTACCAAACAATTACCCATAGAAACATTCGTTATCTTAACCCTTCTCTTCTTTTTTCGGCAACAGATTGTCTCTGACAAAATCTCAGCCCTGTCCTGCCCCAACCTGGCCACTTCTGTCCACAATAGTTCACTGTCATCCACCCTGGACACATAGGCCCCCACCGCTACAGCCCTGGCAAACAGACAATACCAGATGCCTCAAAAAAAATGTAGCCGTGTTCTTGAGCATTTATGGCGTAAGACTAAGACCCAACAAGACTTCGACCAATATAAATCTGCCCTTCAAAAAGACAATTCTTGTCTCTACACTTGCAAACAGACCTATTTTATCACTCTCATTAACACCCTCTAACGTAATCCCCTCTTTTCTACCTTTAACTCTCTACTTCATCCTTCTCTACCTCCACCCACTAACTCACTCACTGCCCAGGAGATCGCTAATCACTTCAAAAATAAAGATTGATACAATTCGTGACGAGACCTCCACTGTACAGATATCTCCCTCACCCCACACTCCTTGTCCACCTGCATAATCTATACTTCCCTTGTTTAACCCAGCTACTATAGAGTAGGTTGGTAAACTGTTTTCTAAAGCCCACCTAACCACCTGCCCCCTGAACCCTTTTCCCTCGCAAATACTATGGTCACCCTCTGGCTCTATCCTTCATTCTTTAACTCATATCTTCAATCTCTCCTTTTCTACTGGCATCTTCCCCAACTCTCTAAAACATGCACTAGTCACCCCCATAGTTAAAATTGCCTCACTGGACCCCGCCAATCTTTGGAAACTTAAGACCCATCTCCTTACTCCCTTTTGTCTCCAAACTCCTTGAACATCTAGTCTACCACCGGCTGAGCTGACACCTTATTGAAAATAACCTTCTCGATCCCCTTCAGTCTGGATTTCGGCCACAACACTCCACAGAAACTGCTCTCCTAAAACTCACAAACGACTTACTATCCACCTTTAGACGATCCCTGAAAACCTCTCTCTTTAAAGAAGCCTATCCTGCTTCTAACTAGTAAACTGCCATTTAATTCCTCCATCAGCTCATCCCCCCCACAGCAATTACCTTTTGTATCACTCAACCCTTCCTCCTAGATTGTAAGCTCTAACGAGCAGGACCCTCTGTTTCCTCTTGTACCAAATTGTATCGTAACTGTAATGTCTACCTTCATTTTGTAAAGCGCTGCGCAAACTGTTGGCACTATATAAATCCTGTATAATAATAATAATAATAATATCAGGTAATCACCAGTCCTGCTTTAGGACCAGAAGGCCCATTCTTCAATCCTCATAGCAGGCCCATCCTGCAGGACCTTCAGGGGATCACTGCTTTGGACCTGTAAAGCACTCCATGAGCAAGGTCACCCACAGAATCCAGCGCTGTCCAGCAACATTACAGGCTGTCCCCAGTCTGCCATGCCGAGTACAGCTCTTGTTAGCCATCTGAATGTAGCGACCAAGATGAAGCCCTCCTCTACCTCCAGCAAGGATGTTAGGAGCAGGTCAGGAAATAGAAGCTAATACACTGAAAGGTGATATTTAGAGAGACAGCTGAAGGCACATCCATCCCCTAAGGACACTAGTTAAAATCTGAGGCTTAGCTGAGCTAGGAGGAGTTATGCCTGGGTGGGAATTCCTGCCCATTTTGGCCAGTGACCATTCACCTGAAGGTGACTAACCTGTAAAATCCTTTTCTTGAAGTACATCAGAGGACCCTAATTACTCCTATATTGCTTGCTTAAATAATAAAAAAAACAAAACATAAAAGGCAGGAGAGGGAAAGTTTATGCAGGGCTATGATTTCAGCTTTACTTTGCCAGTATCCAATCACCCGGAGATTGTGAATAACCCCTTGGTCTAAGAATTAGCCAATCACATGTCCTGTGATATACCTCAAAACATTTTTACATGCAAGTCAAAAATCCTATTTTATTTTAAAATAGGAATGAAGGAAACCTATTTTTCAATTTTAAATGTCTTTTTAGAATTAGATTTTAGGCAGATACTAAAAAACACAAATGAATACAGTGATGTGTTTATAGGAAACAATTTCCTACATTTGTCTTGACTTCAACACTCAACAAAAGGGGTGGTACTTCAGGTCAGTCAGTTGTCCTACATTCACATTTGCCGACAATAGTAAAGAGATGACCTCATGAGACTGTTGCTGCTCCTTCACTGTCCAATTACAGTTGACTGGGAAGTGACCTAGCTGTGTTGCTTGATCACAGGCTGGTTGTATTGCTGTCTGTTAGAACTGTGGAAATCTACAATCTGGATGGATAAAGATACAAATCTTTTGGCCGATAAGCAGCTCCATATATAGGTATTTCAACTGTGTAAAGTTCATATTCTTACAAATGAAACAAGAATTGTATTAACCACTAATGCAGAGACTGGAAAATAATTTTTGATATTTAACCACTTATACTGCGCTATAACCAAAAGATGGCTATATCATGGTTCTCTCTTTTTGGGAGGGCGTCTATAGATGTCCTCCCAGAACGCACCTGGGTTGCACTCTCTGACCGCTCTGTCCTTTGGACACAGCTGATCACAGATCGCGATAAAGGACCAGTAGCAGCCCTTTACTATGTGACCAGCTGTGCCCAATCACAGCTGATCATATGTAAATAGACTTGCCTGTTATCAGCAGTCTTTTCCTCACAGGCTGTGTGAGGATGAGATAGCCGATACCCGCTAAACTCTTTGTTTACACGGATAATCAGGGCACTGACCATGAGTGCCCTGATTATCAGTGCCACCTCATCAATACACATCAGTAAAAAAGAGAGATTTGCAAAAATTTATAAACAGAAATGAAGAAAAAAGCCCCCCCCCCTCCCAAAAAAAACAAAAAAAAATTAGGGTTTCTTTTTGTTTGTTTATCAAAAAATAACCCAGTGGTGATTTAATCCCACCAAAATAAAGCTCTGTGTCTCAAAAAGAATGCAAAAAATTTCATATGGGTACAGTGCATAACCGCGCAATTGTCATTCAAAGTGTGAAAGCGCTGAAAGCTGAAAATTGGCTTGGGCAGGAAGGGGGTCAAAGTGCCCTGTATTGACGTGGTTAAGTACTTCAGGAACAAATATGTATTTCTGTAATCATCGTATGGAGTATAGCCACACCACATATTAATCTAGGCGTTAGAGCAGGCTGTAGTATGACCAACAAGAATTCCAACTTGCCGTACCAGATACAATACTCCTTACTCCTGGGAGAGACTCTCATGAGATTCACTCTTTTGTTTTAGGTGTAGTGTACAAGCTCTAAGCTACTCTACTGAACAAATCAGTATATAAAATCAATTTTTGCAATGTAAACATATCAATGAGTGACCAGAATAGGGTGAATACTGATGGAAGATATATTTTTACATGGCTGTGCAAAATGAACAAACAGTGTATTACATTTAATCTGAAAAAAAGTTACCTTATGCCTCTCCTCTTGCAAGAGAGCTTCCATTTCTTTCTTCACAGCACACAACTCTTCCTGCAGCTCCTGTACTGCAGGGTTAGGTTCAGCTTTCTGTCTTTTTGCCTCCTGCAGCTGCTTTCTCAAATCTTCAATTTCCTTACGTAGCCTTTTGCTTTGGTCTTCCGCTGCCTCTGCCCTGACTGCAAGCTCTGATCTCCCTGCCAGCTCCTGCCGTGCCTCTTCTAAACGGAGTTCTACTTCCTGTCTTTGGTCTCGCTCTCCCTGCACTAGCCGCTGTAGCTCTTTTAGCATTACTGCGTGGTCTGCTTGCTCTTGCGCACGGTCATGCTGCTGACTTATGAGCCTGGCCTTGGTCTCAGCCAGCTGAGCTTGTAACCCCTGAATCTCCTCCCCTAAGCGGTCACGTTCTTCTTGCATTCTCTGAACTGTTTCTTCCATCTCTTGCTTTGCCTTTCTTTTGTCTGCTTGGTAGGAAGCCTCCATGCGAGATTTCTCTTGTGTAACTGTAGCCAAGGCACTAAAAACAGAAGATACAGGTTTTCATAATAAACAAATTGACCTTCTACGCCAAAAATAATCAGTAAATAGGATGTCTGCAATAATAAATACTGAAATTGGTGCTGTTTTTTTCAGGCAGTTTCTAGAAGTAGAACTAATGAAATAGGAGTAAATGGCATTTTTACTAAAAGCACTTTTAGGCTGGGTTCACATTATAGAATTCTGAAACATTTGCTTTTTATAGCTTGGTTCGCTGCATTTTTAACACACTTAAAAAGCAGCAAAATGCATGCTTAGAGCACAATAAAAATAAAAAAAACCTAAAAAAACATCAAAGTGAGCAAGATTCTTACATCACATAAAGCAAAGACATTTTATTTGTTGCAATAATGCAAAAAATCTGTAAGCAAATACATACTTAAATCCTACAGGCTAACCTGGTAAGAGTGGCAAGCTGGTTCTTAAGTTGCACCATTCTTCGGTCTGTATCTGCGGGTGTGGACGTCCCACCTTCTCCACTAGCTGTGCTGACCCCACTCTCTGAACCACTTGCCTCTTCTGCACCTGTACCACCAACAGGCTGTGTGGATTCTGGCCTTTCATCCTCACTGGTTTCTCCTCCCCTGGCACTAGGTAAACTGCCTGCTGTATCCACACTGTCTTCACTGTGTATAGAGTGCTGGTCATCATGTGGCTCTTCAACATCTGAGGACAGTAGTTTGGGTTCCTGAGAAGTAGACAAAACATGAAGACTGGCTTCCAAAGCTTCCTTCTCCTTCAAAAGACTCTTGTATGCTCGCACGACATCCTTTAGTCGAGTTTGGTACTGCAGCAACTGCTTCCGCTGAGTTTCCACTAAATCTTGCAATTCTTTCTTACTCGGGCCACCTCCAAAATTCATACCGAGTTTCTCCATGGCACAATTAGTCTATCACCCTGAATAAAAAGACAACAAAGAGGGTAAATGAAAAATGATATGTGAAGTTGCACAAAAAAATGTGCATTAAAACAAAACTGAAAAAGAGGTAAAGCACATGGTAGCAAATGTAAAGACAGAAAAGAATCCAATAGCAACAGGGTAACTACACATTGGGGGAAAAGGCAAAGTTCTGATTTTCATGCCTGGGCAAGCTGGAGCAGATACCTTCTGTGTGTGTGTGGGTAGAAGAGGATGAGTGGAATTTACTTTTTTTTTTAAAGTTCCGATTTATACACTAAACAAATGAAATTCCCAACTTAAGCTAATACTTTATGATCAAAAGACAAAACAGGAGCGCGGGATCACAATTAAAATTCACAGTAGTATTTATTAGAATATAAAAAAAGCACACTTACATCTAAAGTAACTGTACAGCGATGCGCCAATTATATCATCCGACGCCTGAGTCATGCAGATCAGGGCTCCAGGCAGGTAGTTTACTTCTACATTTAGCTGACTGAATCAACTACAAGTACTGGAATCCTTTGCGGATGTCGGCTTGTAGTTCTCAATGAACTACCATAGCGCTGTTGAGTGTTTTGGTAGTTGATTGATTCTTCCTGTCAGTGTGAAACTACCTCCCTTTACAAGGTGCGGGTGCACATTTTATACTGAGCGTCTGCAGGAAGCATGCTTTACACCCGAGAGCAATGCTTTGCAGGCTCCTAAAAATTAAATAAATGCCCACTTTTTTTGCCTGCAAAAACAAAAATGTGCATTTATTTTTTTTTTTAAAGGCGCACTTATCCGTTAACGGAGCAGACACCAGACCTTGATTTGGCTGCTCAGCATGTTTCTGCACTGAAAACCGAAGTGCTTTTGTGTGCGAGGGTAACCTGAAGGACGGTATGGGAGCCTGCCAATTATTAATCCCCTTATTAATGCCTTGTATCACATGCCCTCAGAGTCCTGCTCTGTATTGTTCCAATTGTCCCCTGTGTCACTAGGCTGGGAGCTCTCTGCACATCTCCCAACTTGCTTTTCATGTATGCAGACATCATCCCTGCCCCCCAGGATGTCCCTGTAACCAGCCTGATTCTCCCTGAGGTCTAGTATTACCTCCCCCCTCCCAGTTGCCAAGGCGACCGGGGAGCATCCTGCAGCAGTTTAAGAGGCTGATGCTAGAAGCTCCGTTTTTCATTCCGTTGTGCAGTCCGCAAGGGATCTCAAGCTTCGGCGAGACCCTTGTGAATAGACTCTGCAAGTCTACTCCCCAGCCTCACGGAGACCCCACAGGAGGGAAGAGACAACCAGAGAAAGCCTACCTGCGATTGCGAGAGACCCCACAGAAGGGGGAGAGACTATCCCAGCCTGCCTGTTTTTTGCCAGAGACCCCACAGAAGGGGGAGAGACTACCGCCTGCCAGAGCCCACCCGCCTGATCCGGACTCCACAGGTACCTGCGTTCTGCTTCTACCCCTGGGAGACCAGGCACCCTGTTGGATCCATGAGTACCTGCTTCCCCACTGTGTTACCGGAACTGTTGCGGTGGTGACTCCTCGCACCCCTCTCCTGTGTCGGACTACCCGTTACAGGGACACCCCCTTGGCTCTCCTAGTGGACTATAAGTGGGTGGGGCCCCCTCGTTACCATTTAGTGGCAAATCCACCCTCACTGCCACCCCCCGTATTGAAGGACTGCCGTCTGTTTGTCTCAATAAAGCTTTGTGCGTCTGCCATCCACTCTGTGTGTTCTGTCCTGCCTTTCCTCCATCACACACCCCTTTTGTTTTTAAATGCTCCAGATGTTCCTAAAAGCACCTTAGATTTAAATACGGTTTTGGTTAAAATTTTTTTTTTTTCAAAGTAGATTGTCATGAGGGACAAGATTGGGACCCCGATTTAGTCCCTGGACAAGTAGTTTTTAAAACATTTCCACACCCCTGCTGTATATCAGCAAATGAGTTTAGAGAACGAGAGGTCACACCGGAGAGGCTGCATACAGCAGCCGAAGTTCAGAAACCACATTTTCTGATTCTGCACTGCTGCAGCCTCACTGATGTGACATCTCGGACTACACACTCCTTGCTCATATACAGTTACTTTAGATGTAAATGTGCTTTTTTCCCCCATAAATAAGCTTTGAGGTTCATAGAGAAACAACACAAAAACCCCCAAAAACAAACACCCCCCCCCCCCCCCCCGCTTAAAAAGCAAAACAAAAAAACAGAACAGTAACGCGCCACATTGGTTCACATGTCACACATCATTTAACAAATAGAGATCATGCCACAGACACAGCTCCATTGATTGCAACATAGCACTGGAAGGAAATAGGCAATACAATAGTCTATTAGTCAAAGCCTGAGATCACGTGCCGATGTACCCGTGCAGGGGCTATATCCCCTGTAGTATGAAATTCCCGTATACCCGTCATCAAGGTATAGCTGGGCCATGACGCTCTGTACTGAGTACACAATGGAATTTCCAGGTTTTGGGCATAGGCAGCAGAAGTCATAATATAGAAGGGAAGGAAAGAGAAGGAGGTATATAAAGCTAGAATTGAGATAAATGTGTGGGTAAGTATGAGGTAAGAGGTGAAGGCGCAAGAAGCTTGAATGGGATGAGGCATAGGTGAAAATCAGTAGGGTGGGTCTCTTGCTCTCTTCCATAATATAATATCTAGGTGCAGACCAGGCCATATAACTACAACTATGCTTTTATAGATTTTATTAAACACTACTGCAAATTTTATTTGGGACCCCAGGCTCCTGTCTGTTTTGTCTGGATCCTTAAAGGAAGCTGCAGGACTCCTGGAATTCACATCATTTGGCTACCCCCTGCTCCCTTGGGACACTCTCCTGTTGCCAGGCTAATACAGCATACATTAGAAGCTGGGATGACTGTGAGCTGTGGCGGTGCGTTTTTCTTTTTTTCTTAAAGTGTTTTTTTTTTTTTTGTTTGTTTTTTTTTTTTTAACAACACAGGATGTTTATTGTAAAAAGAAAGTGAAAGAACAATACAACTGAGAAACACACATTAGTTAGTATGACATGGTAGGCGTGGTATAATATGAATGTAGAGCAGCCCAGCCCAGAGGAGGAGATGGAGAAGAGAAGGGGTCTGAGGACAGAGCCTTGGGGGACCCCAACAGAGAGGGGGAGGTGGCAACGTTATAGGTAACGCTGAAGGAGCACTGGAATAGATAGGAGGAGAGCCAGGAGAGAGCGGAGTCTATGATGCCAAGGGAGTATAGTTTTTTTAAGGAGAAGGAGGTGGTCAACTGTGTCGAAGGCCACGGAGAGGTCGAGGAGTAGGACTGAGCAGTGGCCATTAGCTTTGGCGGTTAGCAGGTCGTTGGTGATTTTAAGTAGGGCGGTTTCGGTGGAGGGGACGGAAGCCAGACTGTAGGGGATCAAGGAGGTGGTTGTTGAGGTGGGAGCTTAGGCGATTATAGACTAAGCGCTCAAGGAGTTTGGATGTAAATGGCAGCAGGGAGATGGGTCTAAGTTGTTCAGCTCGGTGGGGTCCAGGGAGGGTTTTTTTGAGTATGGGAGTGACATGCACGTGCTTTAGGGGGGAGGGGAATACACCAGTAGAGAGAGAGAGATTGAAGATGTGGGTGAGGGAGCGTAGGATAGAGGAGGAGGGTGACCGGAGTAGTTGTGTGGGGACAGGGGTCAAGGAGGCAGGTGGTGAGGTGGGCTTCTGAGAAGACCTTAGTGACCTCTTCAGTGGTAGCAAGGCCTAAGGAGTGGAGTGTTGGGGGGGGGGGGGGGGGGGGGGTTTAGTGTGTGGGATGTTAGGTGGGAGGGAGGCTAGGCGGGGTGGAAGATTGAGCATTGGCGATGTCCTTACATATTGCGTTGATCTTGTTTTGGCAGTGGTTAGCAATCTCGTGGGCGGTGAGTGAGGTACTGGGTGGAGGTAGGGGGGAGAGAGAGTAGGGAGTTAAGGTGGAGGGAGGTGAAGGGTTTCTCAGGGCGCATTGTTGCGGAAAGTCTGTCGTTCAGTGGCAAATCATGTTGAAGTAGCTTCTTGTAGCAGGAGTTCAAGTGATTAGGATCTGGGTGGATAGAGATCAGTTCGGCAATTTGTAGGTTGCAAGTTCCAGTTTGCGTGAGTCCCAGGTTGGAAGGTTATGAGGGGGTCGTCAGGTGGGCTGCAGGTCAAGATAAGGTTGATCATCCAATGGGCACAGGAGGTCCGGGATGGTAGGCCTCACCGAGGCAGGGCCGTTCGCCGGGGGTAGAGTCGCTCGCCAAGTCTACTTCGGGGGTGGATAGAGGGGCCTCGGGTCAGGGTCGGGCCGTGTCTTGGTAGGCTGTGGCAGGTCTTGCTACTCACGGGGGTAGGCAGGAGGGTCTCAGGGCCCGGCCAGGCCATGACGTGGAGGGCTGAGTCGGGTCTCGCACAGGCTGGGTCCATCTGTGAGTTCAGGAGGAGAAGGAGATGGGGACTGCAGGCTCACGGCTGCGGGGAGCGTGCCATAGTGGGTCTTGACGATCTTTTAGACTGCAGGCTCACTGCTGGGTGGGTTGCCGGAGGAGCGTGCAGGGGTAGGCCGCGGTGGGCCTCGACAGGCCGGGTGCCGTAGTTGTCTTGGAGGGGGGTCTGGGTGACACCGCTCCACCCTCCAGGTGCGGGTGAGGTTGGGGGGTCTTCGCTGCTGGTGGGCGGCTGGGTCATGTGCTGGCTAGTCGCGGCAGTCTGTAGGTGCTCTAGGGCCCGGCGTCTGTAGGAGACCTCGCTTCGGTCTTGCTCTGGCCACGGCGGCAGGAAAGACCACAGCTTCACAGGCCGCAGTAGGCCGCCGGAGGGACGAAGCGCCCGGCACCCCTCCTCGGGTGTCAGGCAGGGGCCGCAGAACCTCCGATGGTTGCTCCGGAGCCTGCTACCGCCCGGATGGTGGAGGATTTACCGAGGGGTGCCGGAGCTGGCGATCAAGCGGCTGCTCCGGTCGCCATCTTGGTCAGAGGACAAGTACAGGAGGATCAGG